AGCATCAGGGCCACTGTTCGCAACTGCTCGAGCCAATTTAGCGACGTTTGAAGGGGCGGACTTGTCGCCCACGTCGGACGCAAGCCATGTCCCGTCTGCGCAGAGGATGATGCGCTTGTAGCTGGCCCAATTGAGGGATTTTTCCTCCATAGTGTAGCAAGGCTGGATGGTTGAAAAATGAGGGCGGAAGAGAGAGGACAGTCTGTGAGGGTGCTTTTAAAAGGAATCCTCGATCAATGCTGGTCTTAGCAATAGGGGTCGTAGGGTAGTGGAACACCTAAGCTATCAAATGAAGTCTTATATGAAAAAGTATGGTGCCTCTCGAATGGAAACCTAAAATAGAATTAGGCGCCGGAGTTCAAGTATTAGTCAAGACAAGTAGTTTGCCATTCCAGAGCTTCCTAAAGCTTCAAGAGTCTAGACTTCCATTGGCGTAAAAGTCCTGGTGGCTCCGTAACGAATGCTTATTAGAGCTCGATCCATGTGAAAGTGTCTAAAGGTCTGGTCTAGAGCATCCCTTATACTTGCGATTCGTTTGCAGTATGGTCGACCTCTCAGGCTTCCTCGCAGAGGTGGCAAGCTGAGTAAAACGCCACAAACTATCATCACTGACGGCCTGTTTGAGGAATAGAACACGGCGCAAGTCTGTCACCAACACTACGTCTCACTTTCAGCGTTCACCTCAAGGATCTAGACTAAAGAGTAACTACCGATGTCGAAATGCTTATCGCAATTATATCGCAATAGCATTCCAAATTCGTAAGCCTGGTATGTAAAGGTTGCGTTATGCATTCCAGTACTATAGCTAGATTAGACACAAAAGAATGGGACAGCAGGTTCAGCTTGTCACCTATGAGAGGGAGCCTTTGCGGCTGACAAGCCTTCAAACCTATCGCAAAAGTATACGTGACGTATCAAACCTATCGCAAAAGTTTGTGGATCAAGGTTCAGGCTTTTATACGACCCAGCTAGTCTAGACGTTCATCATTCCAGATGTCCCATCAGCTCAACGTACTCAGAGGGATTCGAGTCTTCACTATGCCACAATGTTAACGTCAGCGGGACTGGCCTGAAAGATGTTTGCCTTGCCCGAATCAACCACTCTCTCTGGACTCGGTGAGGCCAAGGCAGTATCCGATGACTAAGTAGACGACTGCCGAAGTCCCTGGGGTGAGCGCGATGATGAGGCCAATATCTGGGTTCGGCCTTACCGGAGACGATCTGCTGTTCCTACACTCGACATTGGTAGTCCACCAATCCGTGCTTCTCAATCCCGTCGCATATCCATACTAGCTGGGCGCCAGAGTTCAAGGATCAAGGTAAAAATTTGACTGAAGCCAGTGATCTCATGTCCAGCAACTGTTAATTGACAAAGTTTGGACTTAAAACTGAATATCCCTCTCAATCATGCTTTAAAGCATTCTAGAGCTTCCTAAAGTTCCGAGAGTCTAGATATTAATATGTATAGGGAAAAGGGTTATACAGTAGTAGCTTACACTAAAAGCTTATTAAAACTGCCTACTACAGTTTAAGTAGAGTATAAAGATGCTGGTTCCGCAGGCTGCCAGGTTACATAAAACATCCTCGTAGACCAAACCTAAAGATACTTTGACCGTATCCAACTCGTTAAACAGAAACGCTCTACTTCGCGCATCCCGCCATGAGCGAATCTTCCACAACCCATATGCCAGAGACAACTGTCAGCTCCATGCGTAGCCATGGTGGAGCGCTTCCAGAGGAGGAAGTCGACACACTGCGTGACTATGAGTACGTCGTGGTCGGCTCAGGCGCCGGGGGGGGACCGTTAGCCGCCAACCTCGCCCGGAACGGCCACAAAGTTCTCCTTCTCGAAGCAGGCGATGATCAGGGATC